CCAGGCACAGTGGGTCATGCCTATAATCCCAGCACTTTGGGAGGCCGAGGTGGTGGATCACAAGGTCAGGAATTCAAGACCAGCTTGGGCAATATGGTGAAACCTCATCTCTACTTAAAAAAAAAAAAGAAATACAAAAATTAGCTGGGTGTGGTGGCGGGTGCCTATAGTCCCAGCTAGGCAGGAGAATTACTTGAACCCAGGAGGTGGAGGTTGCAGTGAGCTGAGATCGTGCTGCTGCACTCCAGCCTGGAAGACAGAGACTCCCTCTCAAAAATCAAACAAACAAACAAAAAAACCATACCAAAAAAAAAAACCACAAAGTGGTGAAGATGGTAAATTTTATGTTATATGTCTTTTGCCACAATGATAAATTAATTAAAAAATTAGGGGAAGATGGCGATGACCTGGAGGTGAGTAGGCACAAGGTGATGGGGGAGAGGTAACAAGGATGACAAAACCCAATAAAACCCAGCCCCTCTGGCCTCAAGAACCTTTTGGCTCAGCCAAAGGGTTGATAGACAATCACAACACACAAGGTAGATACTGTGGCTTTCTGCTGCAAAGCTAACACAGATACAAAGCCCATGCCCCGCAAATCACCTCAAAATAGACGTTTAATGTCTACAGTCCCCAAAGGCAAACATTTAAGACATAATTATAGGTTTGGCAATCCTCGAAATGAGCACTGCCAGAGAAACATCGGTGAGTAATAAAAAACTACAGGTGTATGCAATATGCAATATTCCCCTTTCAAGGTAACCTCGAAGGTCAGGCAATACCATAGGTAAGAGTGTTAGGCCAGGGAGAAAGCAGATTTTTCCGGTCTTCAGCACGATTCCAGGATATAAATTCCCCTTGTTGTCTTATAATTCTTAGGATGCCTGAGAACTATTGCTACTGAGATCTTACTTTGGAATCTTTCTTAAGTTGTAAACAAGTTGTAATGATCCTTTATACCCTGATTGAAGGTATATTTTCCTCCCTCACACAAACTCAAACTCTTTTCCTTCAATCACAAAGTTTTATAAATTGCAAAAGTCTGTTTATAGATTTTCCTTGAGTTTTGTTGGTAAAACATTATTGCTCTTTCAAATAGCTCAACTATTCTTCATGGAAAGGACAAAAAACAGGAATCGCTCTTTTCCTGACGTGTTATCCCAACCCCATATGTTTTTCTGAAAACACCCGGAATGTCACTCTCACCACTGCCTATGTAATATAGCCATCCCTGGTTCAGTGTCGATTTTATTGTCTGATATGTCAAATTCAATGGTGTGATTTTATCTTTTACTGTTTGAAACCTTATCAGTTGCTCCATTCTGCACAAGTTCTCTATCTACGGTCCCCCCTGCAAAATCATTAATAAAGACCACTGCCAGGCTGGTGGCTCACGCCTGTAATCCCAGCACTTTGGAAGCCAAGGCAGGTGGATCACCTGAGTTCAGGAGTTCAAGACCAGCCTGACCAACATGGGGAAACCCCGCTTATACTAAACATACAAAAAAAAAAATTAGCTGGGCGTGCTGGGTTGTGCTTGTAGTCCCAGCTACTCAGGAGGCTGAGGCAGGAGAATCACTTGAACCTGGGAGGAGGAGGTTGCAGTGAGTTGACATTGTGCCACTGCACTCCAGCCTGGTGACAGAGCAAGACTGCCTCAAACAACAACAACAAACAAAAACATTAGCTGGGTGTGGTTGTGTGCACCTGTAGTCCCACCTACTGGGGAGGCTGAGGCGGAAGAATCGATTGAACCGGGGAGGTGGAGGTTGCAGTGAGCCGAGATCGTACCACTGCACTCGAGCCTGGGTGACAGAGCGAGAATCTGTCTCAAAAACCAAAACCAAAACCAAAAACTACTGCCAAGACCTTGCCGAGTGCCGTCGCGGTGACTATCTGTTCTAAGACACCCCCACTTATTTAGTCCTTCCTGCTGAATCTTGGAAAAATCCGATAATAACATTCAGGCCTGAGAATCAATAACTGATAAGACTTAAAATGCTCATTCATTTAGAAATAACAGTGCCTCTTACGTGTTTGGCACTGTCTAGATGCTGGGAATACAACAGTGAATAAGACAGACAAGGATCTTCTCCTGGAACTTTTCTTTTTTGAGATGGAGTTTAGCTTTTGTTGCCCAGGCTGGAGTGCAATGGCTCTATCTTGGCTCACTGTAACCTCCACCTCCTGGGTTCAAGCGATTCTTCTGCCTCATCCTCCTGAGTAGCTGGGATTACAGGTGTGCACCAACGAGCCTGGCTAATTTTTTTTTTGAGACAGAGTCTTCCACTGTTGCCCAGTCTGCAGTGCAGTGGCGCCACCTTGGCTCACTTCAATCTCTGCCTCCTGGTTCAAGTAATTCTCCTGCCTCAGCCTCCTGAGTAGCTGGGACTACAGGCGTGCGGCACCATGCCCAGCTAATTTTTTTTTGTATTTTTTTAGTAGAGACGGGGTTTCACCATGTTGGCCAGGATGGTCTTGATCTCCTGACTTTGTGATCTGCCCACCTTGGCCTCTCAAAGTGCTGGGATTACAGGCGTGAGCCACTGTGCCCAGCCAATTTTTTGTATTTTTAGTATAAACGGGGTTTCACCATGTTAGCCAGGCTGGTCTCAAACTCCTGACCTCAGGTGATCTACCCACCTCCCAAAGTGTTGGGATTACAGGCGTGAGCCCCCACGCCCAGTCTGGAACTTATTTTTGTTGCTTATCCCAGAGATTTTTGACTTTTAACAATGGACAAAGTCCCGGTTTGGCTTAAAGACAAAGAGATTCAGGTTCTTTGTTTGTAAGTAAGCCATGCTTCCTTGGGTGGGAACAGGAGAGGTTCTCCCGGCATCCTGAAATCACACAACAGAGTCCACCTGCTCCTAAGTGGGGTCTCAGTGGAACTATGGACTACATTGTCATTTTTGTTGGGCACATGCCAGGTTCCAACAAGACCATGCCCTTCTGTGGAGTATACTCCATGCCAGGCAAGAATGGCCAAGGACACAGTGGGCCACCATGGGGTCCCAAGACCACCCCTCAGCTGTTGCTCAGGAAGACATTGCCCCCTCGTGGTTCCTCATGTAATTGAGGGAGAAGCAGGCAGTGCAAAGGGCTCCCAGTTAAGGTAATCAATACAACCAAACACCTGCGAAGTTTCCAGATTCACTGTAGCCTTGTCTCTTCTGAATGTCTTGGGTTGCGCTTTCAGTAGACTAGATTTATTTTCATCCAGGATACAAGTTTGTTCCCCTTAGAGAGAAATCACATTATGACAGCAATTAAGAAACATTTTTTCCCTGTGGAAATCTTCCTGTTTCAAAATCTCCAAACCCCCCAGATAAACCCAATCTGAAAAATCCAAGTATCACTACCGTATTTCTCTCCAAAATAATCTTACAGCAAACATTTTCCTTGCTTTTTATAATTGGAAAGAAGGCTCTGAGAGCATCCTGGTCCATACCACTTTTTTTTGTCCGTCTTTTCCCCTCTTTGTGGAGAACAGAGTGTCAATGTCGCTCGGTTGCCCAGGCAGTTCTTGAAATCCCGGGCTCACGCAATTCTCTTGCCTCTATCTCCTTAAGTGCTGAGATGGCGAGTGTGAGCCACCATCCCACTTTTAACTCCCTACAGGCAGGGACCTTATCTGCATCTCCCACAGCCTCCCCCACCCTATCCCCAGCAGCACTTAAACCAGTATAAAGAATGTCTGGAGGGGGTGGGGAGAAACAGTTAAGCGAATACTGGAGTTAGAAACTGACTGGTGCAGGACAGAAACAGCAGGCTGGGGCAGAGAATTCCGGGGAGAAGTGGGGCAGAACCCACTGATACGTGTAGTTCCACATTTATTCATTCATAGCAGTCAAATCTAAGGGTTTAACACGGTGGCTCCAGGCTGTAATCCCACCGGTCTGGGAGGCCAAAAGCGGGAGGATCACTCGAGGCCAGGAGTTTGAGATCAGCCTGGGCAACAAAGTGAGACCCTAATTTTTACAAAAAAACAGAAGCTTAAATGATCGAGTATTGGAAAAGTTTCCTAAGGCCCGGAAAAAAAATGGAAGTTTCCTTAATAATAATGTTAGCTTCCACGTATTATAAACTGAAATGAAGAATGAATGCTGGGTGCTGCATATAGCTCTACAACCTGCAGTCTCCTCGAAAACTCTGGAGGACATTTTCAACTGTTCCCATTTCATGGATGAGGAAACAAGCTACGCAACCCCTCTGAAGCTAGTGCAAAGCCCAGGCCCCCCTTTCTTTTTCAAGCGTGCTTCCAGCCTCTGAAGTTCCTCCATAAGGACCCCCAGCTCTGCTAGCAATGAAGAATATTCACTTGGCCAACAAATAGGTAGCCTGTTTAAATAACCGTGGGATTAAAAAGATAAATAGGGCAGGGTTTAGGTTTTTTTCTTTATTCCAGGAAGGAGCTCTCCGAAGGGTGTGGCAGAGGCCAGGTAAACAATCCCAGAAGGGTCTGATGAGGGTTGGGAGAGGAGTCGGGGGTCGCGGGAAGCCCAGGAAGCAAAGCCGGTGGGGGGAAGGCTAGGGGCGCGTCGCAGGACCCCCGCTGGAGTTGGGTTTGAAACCCCGTCCTGAAAAAGCCGGCCGGGAGTGGGCTGCCCCGGTGTCATTCGAGTTCTCATCCTGTCATTAAAGCAGCCGAGGAAGAACCAGTTCTGCCCCGGGGAAGGGTGGGCTTAGGGCCAGGGGTGCAAATCCCTCGGTAAAAGCCAGCAAACAAAAGTCGCACATCCCAGCTCCTGGTCCGGGCCCCGGTGGGGCAGGGTCCCCGAAGTCCCGGGGCGCTCAGACGCCGGGGCCCCCGGGAGAGGAGGGAACGGCGGGCCCCGACCTCCCTGTCCTCGGCCTCTCGGGCCCTTGCCCTACGACCCGCCGCCGAGTCCGGGGCTGGGGTCGCCTCTTCCGCCCGCGGCCCGCGGCCCCTCCCCAGCGCGCGCCATCCGGCCGCCGGCCCCTCCTCCCGCGGGGTCTCAGTCCTGCGCCCCGTCCCTCCCGGTTGCAGCCGGCAGCCCACGTCCAGGGAGGGCGGAGGGAGGAGGAGAGGCGCGGAGAGGAGGGAGAGGAGGTGGGAGGGAGGAAGGCGAGAGAAAGGGAGCTGCTTCCATCCTGGACTTCCCAGAGCCTGCCTGGAGCGCGCACTCAGCGGCTCTCGGGTCCCAACGTCCCAGCCGCGGCCCGCGCCCCTCCGCCCGACTCCTCCTCCTCTTTCTCTTCCTCCTCCTCCTCTCTGGGCACCCCTGTCCCCTCCTTCCAGCAGCTGCAGCCCCCTGTCCCAACTCGGCCTCATCCCCAACTCTCCGCACTCACTCTTGGGACGCGCGTCCTCGCCCCATCCTTCGCTTCCTTCCTTCCTTCTTCCTTCCTCCCCGGGCGCCCGCCCTCCCTCTCCAGGTCGCCCTCCCGGGGCCCGATTGTCTCGGTGCCCCGCTCCCGGCCCGCGCCCTGCCCCGACTCTCCCTCGCATTTCCTGAGTCGCCCGCCGCCGCCGTCGCAGTCTCACCGCGGGATCCGCAGCCCAAGCCCGACAGCCACTGCCCCGGCTCCAGCCCCGCAGTCCGCGGCGCCCGCCCGAGGGAGCCCCGGCGCCCGGGGAAGGCAACAGTGGGCGAGCGCGACCTCGCCCAACCCGGCGCCCCAGCCCTGCCCGGCCCGGCGAGGAAGGACCGGGAAGATGAACAACGGCGGCAAAGCCGAGAAGGAGAACACCCCGAGCGAGGCCAACCTTCAGGAGGAGGAGGTACGGGGTGGCTGTGTGCTGTGGCGGGGGCGACCCGGGACCCAGTGCGGGCGGCCAAAGGGGCGCGGGCCCGGGGCACGGCTGTGGAAGATTAGGGCATGGCCCGTGCCCCGGACGCAGCCCCGCAGTGTGGCCCCGGGAGGGTGGATCTCGGGAGCTTGTGTTTTTGTGTCCACGCGCGTCTGCGTGCCCCAAATTGCGTAACTCCAAGGACTTTTCGAAGACTTTTGTAAGTATAATGCTCAGCTTTGTTTGCCCGGGATTTAAAAAGTGGAACCGAGAGCTGACTCCTGGGTGAACTCGGATGATCGGGACTCGGAGGGTCAGGACGTAGGGCTGGGGCTAGAAATTGTGTGTGGATTGCGGGGGCGGTGGGGTGGGGTGGGGGTGCAGTTTAAGGAAGAAACTCGGGAAAAAGTTCTCGTTAAAAGATACCTCTGTACCCTGTCCCTTGGCTTTCCGTGTTAAAAGTTCTTGGTGAAATATCTTTCTAGCCAAGGTTTTTTGGATTAATAGATAACTCATCAGCCACATTCTTCTCCGCTGAGTCAAAGACCTCGAACCTGGGTGGTGAGCGCTTGTGAATTTAGGGGCCGTGGAGATGGGGATCGCAGAATAAGAAGGTTAAAAATGCAACAATTCACCAAAATGCTCATCGAGGGTGTTTTCATAGGACTTTGACTTCTGAGCACGCATTGTAGGTGGTACGTCCGTAATCACGGTGAAAGCTTTGCGGCTGCGGAGCGTTTCTTCGGTGGAAACAAAATTCAGTAGATTGGGCAGAAGGGGACTCGGACTCAGGAACAAGCGTTTCAGAATTCCGTAGTAGGATATTTGTGGTCTCCTACCAAATAACTCTCTTCCTGCAGGTACATTATGTGAAGTCCAAGAACTTATTTCTGGCGTACTTTTTAAACATCCCACACAGTTGAGTCCTTAAAGAGTTTAGAGGAACTTGAGAGTGTGTGTGCAGATGCAGCAAAGTGCACGTCTTAATATGACCTGAAAAGATTCACAGGGATTGCATCCTGATATAGGTGAACACAGAGGGTAAACCGATTCTAAAGCATTAGGATGTTGAGATCATTGTTGAAACACTGTGTTGTGTGCAAACTTCAACTCTGATAGTGAAACCAAAATTGCAGAGGAATTCATTAATACATGCAAGTTCTCTGCACGTTGTCCACTTGGAAAATGGAAACTTTTACGTGGAGAAGGTAGGGGAGCGAGACTGTGCCAAACAATGCAAAATAAATAGGAGATTTTACTCTTCACCCAGCTGTATGGTAGTGAAAACCTAAGCGAATTGCAGTCAGCCAAAATTGCTTTCTCACCCGAGGATATTTTCTATTTTATTATAAAATGCTATTTGAAGAGTTGTTTACTTGCATGTTTTCTAATTACAAGTGTAGGAATGCTACTGACATTTCTTTTTTCAAATAGATGGAGAGTCTAATGGCATGTTCTGCTTTTCTCTTGAACCTTACTGGCTGCTTTGCTATTTATTTCCCTACCGCTTAAAAATTTTTAAAAATAATGACAAATTTGCTTTTTTAGGAATTACTATATTGAACTAATTCACTTACCATATCAAGATAATCATTGCTTCAGAAATCTTTCTATTTCAGCTAGATGTGCAATCTGGTTGCTTCTCGGGGTTAGAATATTATAGGAAACCATCTTTCTTCATTCACCCAGTTGAGAAAACTTGTTTTTTCCTTTTGGTAGGTAGCAAAAGAGGTTCAATGTCCTAAAAATCATACCCACTTAAAGTTAAGTATAGGAAAGTCACATTTTTCCACCTGACCCATATCTTAACTGCTGCCAGGACTGAGGGATTGCCTGCCCGGTTCCTGGGCTGTCCTCCATCCTTGTGAGGTTGTGTATGATAATTGCTATATAATCAGGGGCCATCGCAGTCCAGTTGCTGCCTCTTAACTTGTGCTGTTACCCTGACAGTATTCCTTTTCAGGTGGGAATGGTATGTGGCTCTAGAAAGTATCGATATTTTTAGCAAAACACTTGTTATTTAAAAAATAAGGGGACAGGCAGGAAGATTTCAGAACCCAAGTTGTCCAAGAGATGTCATGTACCAAACAGATAAGACCTTGAAGAGAGGGGGTTTATAATGTCAGAAATTCAGGAAAATAAACTAAAGTGGCCTGAACGATCCAGGTAATTTTGTCTAATTTCCTATTTTTGGTTTATATTTTGTTCTTGAAAAAGTCTTAACCCTTCTTTTTTTTTTTTCTTTCTAACCCTGAAAGCCACAAGTAAAATAAATAGGGCGTTTGGTGAGTGCCATTAATGTGCCCGGCATTACGCAAAACCACCACACTGACCCTTTCCCTGTCCACCCATCGGATCGGCAACTTGGTCTTAAACACATTTAAAAACCTTGGCAGTGGACTCTGGTAAACAGAACACACACATACAACATACATATACACATAATGGCAAGAGAGGAAAAATGTGTTTTGTTGTAATTTCTGGTGGCCGTAGAACTGACATGGAAAAATGAAATGAGTCCAATCATCATTAAGGGAAAATAGTTTATTTCATAGATCATGAAGGTGGTTTGGGCTTTCTTCTACATTGCAGAATCCAAGTTTGGTTTTTTTCCTGTCTTTCTAGTTTTGAAATGAATTCCTTTTATCAACCAGTGTATTCTAGCGGCTTTTGAGAGTTTAGAATGCTTACCCCTGAAATAATTGTGCTGAGATGCTTCTTTGGTTCTAATTGTACAGAATGAACAATTCAGGATCTAGGAGAATTTTTGCAGCTTTTTAGGGTTGGAAGTTTTTGAGAACTTGAGCAGAACATGTATTAATATTTCTACTTTGGATGGCGTTGAAAACTTTGAGGAAAAATAATTTTAGGATTTGGCTAGCCAGTTGTGTAAGAGAGATGGTACATTTAGCTTTCTGATTTTTAATGTGTTATACGTGTGTGTTCCCTAAGCAAGTTGTCCTATAAAGACTAACCCGTTTTCAAAATCTTACCGAGATTTACAAGATTTGTTTGTATATATTTAGAGTATCATATCATTTCCTTTATTTTACAATTGATAAAATAATTCCTAAAATTTGTCTAATTTTACAGACTTTATAAAAATTAATATGAGTAATAGACCTGTAATTATTTCTCATCAGTTATAATTTATGAGTTTAAAGTATTTTTAAATATATCAAGAACTTTTCTGTCTTACAGATAGAAATAACTTGTTGGTCATTGAATTTTCAAAATAGGTAACTTAGATTAAATATGTGATTTAGTTTTATTTACACTTTTTTCCATGTCATTGAGTACTTTTCAGGCTGATTATAAAAGATCTTTAAAGGGCCTTTTATTATCTTGAAGCACTGGTGTTAATTTCTCCCTAAATTGCTTTGAATTGACTTGTACTTATAGTAAAACTAAAAAAACAAAAAATTTGGAAGTGTTGGAATATTGATCAAAAAGACATGCAGAAATCATATTAAGTCAGTTCTTCAGAGGTTAATACACATCTTTCTTTTGCATTCTTTTAAAGTGCTTACTAGTTTTGCCAAAGTACTGGGGTTGTAAAGAAAATTATTTCTTGGCCGGGCGCGGTGGCTCAAGCCTGTAATCCCAGCACTTTGGGAGGCCGAGGCGGGTGGATCACGAGGTCAAGAGATCGAGACCATCCTGGTCAACATGGTGAAACCCCGTCTCTACTAAAAATACAAAAAATTAGCTGGGCATGGTGGCACGTGCCTGTAATCCCAGCTACTCAGGAGGCTGAGGCAGGAGAATTGCCTGAACCCAGGAGGCGGAGGTTGCGGTGAGCCGAGATCGCGCCATTGCACTCCAGCCTGGGTAACAAGAGCGAAACTCCGTCTCAAAAAAAAAAAAAAAAAAATGCTAAATTATTTCTTATAATGGGCACAGAGAGGGTAATGTCAGTTTGATGTGGCAACCTCAGTTTTTCATTGAGCATTAAAATCAGTGTACATTATGACTTGAGGAAGGTACAAAATGGTTTTATACAATTTAACCAAATTGGAGGTCTCTGTTATTCCAAGTCCAATGCATTGCAATAAATGTGTATTTCAGTCATAGAACAGGATTTGGTGATAACTGATGCTTCAAGACCCCTGCCAATATGGCGTGCACTTGTGAGTTATTTTTCCAATGCAGTTTAAACATTTCCCTGATAAACCGTTGTGTGCATCTGCAGTCTTCTTCGTTTCCAGTGGCATTTAGTTTTAAGATGGGCAGTTTGGAAGGGGTGGAAGTTGTTTTCTGGAGATACTTTCATTTAATTTTCATAGGTTCATAGTAATTTCTGCTTTGAGGATAAAAGTGTTGAGTGCTGGTGATAAGGCAATAATGTGGGTGCTTTGTGCATGGCAGTGGTGATGTAAATTAGTGTACCTTTTCAGAAAGGACTGACACTGTCAAAATGTGTTCAGGCCCTTTGATTTAGTACCTTTATTTTTAGAAATTTGCCCTAAGGAAATGGTATCATAAAGAGTTATATATAGGAATGATTATTGCAGAGTGTGACACTGTTATTGTCATGACACTGACAATTCAGAGACATTCTGTGTCTAACATGGGAAATTGCTAACTAAATCATTGCGTAAGTCCGGAAGGGGAATATTACGCAGCCACTAAAGCCTCGATTTTTAAAGAGAAAAATACATGTATTGTAAAATATGTATATGTAAATACATATTTATTATTATACATATATGTGGTTATATACTATTCTCTGTGTTCTGGAGGTCAGACACCTGAAGTCAAGGTGTTGGCAGGGCTACCGTGCTCTCTAAAGGCTGTAGAGGAGAATCTGTCCTTGCCTCTAGCAGCGTCCGTGGCACCAGACATTCTGAATTTTATATTTTTATTCTCATGTTGTGATATTAAGTGAAGAGAACTGATTTTAAAGTTGTATACGATGTGATGCCTGTGGTCAAATATATGTTTATAAAACCAAACATCAATAAACTGTATCTGATTGGTGGATTACAAAT